AAATAATAACATATCAAATGATTTAGAAACACAAAGATAATACCTATGGAAAGAGGAAAATAATTGAGTGGTTGTCACTCAGAAATGAGCCTATGAGGTGGGGAGAGTGGAGAGAATGGTTTTTTTTTTTTCCGTTGTAAGTTGTTTAGTATTGACTTTTTAAACTATATGCATGAATTATTTTGATTAAAAAAATAATAAAAAGGGGGGAAATCAACGTTTAAAATTTTCCATTTTTCTCTCTACATTTTTAAGTAACCTTACCTATTGTGTGGTATAATCATAACCAAAAGAACTTTTAGCCCAGGCCCCTAGAGTGTTTGCTGAGCAGGAAGGAGCAAGGGAAATTGATTCCTGGGCCCTAACTCAGAATTTATTGATCCAGCATTTCTAGAGGAGTGATGTGTAGATTTAAAAGTACCTCAGGTGATCCTTATCATCAAGCAAATTGGGAAAATGTTGACTAGTAGCCTGGGATCAGCGGAACTTTCATTAAACTAACAATACCATTAGAGTCAACACAGCATGTCCCAATCATTAACAATTAAAATACATGCAACAATCCACATCTTTAACTTATTGTTTAAATTTTCAAATAGTAGGTTTGAGAGTTTGGTTTATTCAACTTAAGCAACTATCTGTTGCAAATACCTCCTTGAATTTCTCTAGGGGTCCTGATATACTCTGGCTTTTATCCACACACATAATGAATATCCTTCAATCTTCCTGCTCTACTTTTTGTATTTTTCACGTTTTCTGCATTACTTTTATACTGGAAAGCACAAAATACGCTTTTTAAAGAAATTCTCTATCTTCTGTAAGTAGGCAAAGCAAGACCGTCCATCAACTAATGAGGTCAAAACATGAAAAAAGCATGTCCCAGCTCTTTATCAGTTAACTACTTTCCACTTTAAAAATGATCCTTTGAAGGACAGGTATGGTCTTTAAATATAAACTAACCAAGAGCATAAAGGCACATAAGGGAGAAACAAATTCGAGGCAGATTTAACAAAAATAATTCATAATGCAGTTCCTTTCCATGGTTAGGCAGTTTGGGTGAACTATCTTGATTGTGCAATGCTAATCTTCCTAATGGTCAGATGGGCCACAAGACAGGCATCTCCTCGGCTTGTGGTGTGGTCATGTGGGGACTGAAGACAGCCACAGCTTCCAGGCCAGTTGTCTTCTGTGGGCTGCTTCCAGTTTTCTTTCATGAAATAATTATCTCTACATGTGCCATGATACGAAAAAACTTTGAGAAATACTGATTTAAACTAGACCTGCCTTGATCATTATTCGAAAGTTGAATAAAAGTATGAGGAAGAACAGAATCTCTTTAAAACAGCAGTCCCCAAACTTTTTGGCACCAGGGACCTGTGCTATTATGAGAATAATGTTTGATGATCTGGGGTGGAGCTGAGGCGGTGATGCTAGTGATGTGGAGCGGCTGCAAACACAGATGAAGCTTCGCTTACTAGCCGGATGCTCATCTCCTGCTGTGTGGCCTGGTTCCATTACAGGCCACAAACTGGTACCAGTCTGTGGTCTGGGGTTTGGGGACCCCCGCTTTAAAATGCTGGTATGGAGAAGTGAACTAACACCCATGTTATAGGTCTGTACTACTGACTTCTAATATTTTTTTTTCTGTCTGCACTCCTTCCCTTGCCCCACTTAGGAAATTGTAAGGTATATTCCAGGACTACTCAATGAAGTAACCTTCAAATATGTTAGCTCACTGGCATAAGTTTAAATTCTGGAGACAAGAACAGAATTCTGGTTCTCTGTGCCAATGCTAAATGTATTCAAGGTAAGTCTGAAATAAATTACACTTGTTAAGACAGAGTACTTAAGTGTCAGTGGAAAATCTTCATAGAATAGAAGCTTAGTGCTGTAAGGATCTTCTTACTTAAATTCACAAGCAGCTGAACTGGGGCTAGTCCTCAGATCTCCCTGCTCCCAACAACTGCACTTTCTAGGACACCTCCAGAGAGCTCCTGCTTAATTGCTTCTTTGACTCTCTCTAAAACAATGTCTGAGTACTTCCTGCTCTTCAAGGAAACTGAATTGCTGGTTAATCTGCAACTAGCAAACCATTGTTTGAAGAGCCTAAACTTAAATTTGTGATATTTAAACACAAGTTCCTTTATTAGCCAGTTAGTTCCTTGTTTCTATCTGTGAAATAAAAAGGCAGTCTTGTTTTTGTATAGATCAGGAAACAGCCTTAAAAAGGAATTATCAAGTTCTTTATGTTGTCATTTTGGGGATATCTGATATATTATATCAAAATCTATGAATGGCCTTTGCCAGAGGGGAAGGCAGGTGGGGGAGGACGAAGAGGGTAAAGGGAGGCAAATATATGGTGATGGAAGGAGAACAGACTTCAGGTGGTAAGCACAGTAGAGTATACAGACGTCCTATTAAAAAGCTGTACTCCTGAAATTTATGTTAACCAATGTTACCCCAATAAATTAAATTTTAAAAAAATCTATGTAAATATGCCATATTTGAACTCTATAAGAATGAAGAACTCTATAAGAATGGAAACATCACAAATAGAATTTTCTTCCCTGTACTGAACAGTCTAGATAAGAGAAGTCCCCAGCCCAAATGAGAATGTGAAATTGATGCAGAGGTGGAAAAATGAACTGCCTAAGACAGCATCAATTGAATGAGGAAGGAAGCAGAAGGGGGCAATATAGCTTTAAAATACAAAAGACAGCATCTCATTTGCATAAATCCTTGTATACTTAACTCTTATACTTAATTAACTCTAAATCACCAAGTGCCTAGACTCAGACCAGAAACATTAAGGAACCTGGAACTTCTGTACCCAAAATGGCTAAGACCGTACTGTAATATCAAGGAAACAAAAACTTTAAATTCTTCGAATTTCTCTTATGACGTTTCACCAAGAAAAATCTAAAAGTTCCTTCTCCAGGAAAAAAGTGACCAGTGTTTTTATTCTTAGGCACTACAGTGTGTACCTTCGGTTAACCTGAAACCTAGGAACACAGCTCTGTGTCAGTAGCAATGACATCTGAGTTGGTTCTTCATTTTGTTTCCTGCCACAGAAGGCCAATCTTCAAGAACAGGTGTCATATCTTGAATGCCATTATGGACAGGTTAAGGTAGAAATAGGTTTTCTCTGCCCTCACACAAAACCATAAAAGTACTATAACCAAAACCGGTTTGTAATTAATGTAATGATATGAATTAAAGTCCTGATGTCCAAATTTCAGAGTCCTTGAGAAAAAAAGGCCTTCAGGTACTTAAGTAATGTGATGTGCAACTATTTAGTGAAATTAGAACCTGGGTCTGGAGTGTATCAGTAAAAGGTAATAATTCTTGTAGGGTGGAACTTCTCTATTTTTATAGATTTATGTCTTACCAGTAAATTTGCAAGGGGGAAAAAAAACCAGGAGCGAGATAAGCTGTTTCCCAATCTCCCTTGGAATTCTTTGCATTTCTATTCTAATCACCTGTCTTATTACAGAAACATACACAGCCTTCTCTCCCACTCCTTATAAATACAATTACTCCTACCTCCATTCTTCAGGTCAAAAAATGACAGAACTAAGACAAATCAAAATGTTCAGCCACAACTAACACATGTCTATGATGCACTTCAGACATCTAATGAATATTTGTGAGTTTACTCTGTGCCAGACTTGGGGATAAAAAAAATGAGTAAATCCTTAAGAGACGTTCAACAGCAGCTGCCAATGGTTCATCTTAACCTGTACAACTCAAAATCAAAGGACAGTACAGTGTAGAGAAAAAAGACCACGGAATGAAGCATAACCTCATTATTGACTGCCTAGATAGCAACATCCTAGCAGATTTCCCTGATATCAAAGCCCTTTCCTTTTCAATCTGTCCTGCATTCAATTGCCAATTTCTAGAATTCTCCTTTTCAAGGAGTCTCTTCTGCTCAAGGAGTTTCAAAGGCTCATCACTACTTACCACATCTAGTTCAAACTCTTTAACTTAAAGTCGTCTGCAGGCTAACTCCACTTACCTGTTCAACATTATTTCATCCTCAATATGGTTCCCTTCTGATCCTTTGGAGGGGTAGGACGCATACCTAATTCCGCTACCTACTCTAACTCCTTAGGCAGCTTTCATTCTAAACAGTCTTCAAAAACTATTTCCTCTATCGTCAGTACAGATCCATTACCTTTTAGAATTCGGCATTAGTTTTCTTAACAAAAATGTATGTCCCAAGGTATTTTTAACATTACCATATCAACCAAATGTTCGTTTTCCCAGCCATCCCTTAGTGAAATCAGAAGGAGTCGCTTGCAGTTTCGGCACGAGAGTCCCAACACTGCACTTAGTAAGATAGGGAGAGAGGGTTTGGGGCGGTTGCAAACTATGCAAGGGAAAACTGAAGGGAGCAAAAAGGGGAAAATCCGTGCTCTGTACTCCCAGCCCTTTCTTCGGAAGGGGTGGGGAAGGGTAGGGTCGAGGAGATTCCAAGAAATGAATCCTTGTGGAAGGACAGAAGAAACGCAAGGTGTTCCTTAGGGAGGAAATCGGGCTCCTGTGAAAACGCGAGGACTCCTAATTGTTCCTGGGAGAGGACAGGTTATAACGTGAAACAAAGAGGCTCGGACTCGGGAGGTGAAAAAGATCCGGGAATCTCCGCAGGCAGGGCGGTAAGGAAATGAGAGGGGACATGATGCGGCTCCGGGGACTGGCCGAACCGGGGACGTGGTTGCCAAGATGAACAAGCAGGCACCTAAGGAGCGAGCGTTTGGGGGAATCGCTCTGCTGGGACGCGCGGTCGGGCGGGGATTTGGGTGGGATCGTCTCCCAAAGAGAGAAACGGCCTCCTAGGGTAGTGCTCTCCGAGATGGAAACCCTGCGACGCGAAGACGCTGAGGCGACGGCATCTGCCAGCCGCATCCCGATTTCCCCATACACTCACCGCGTCCGCTCCAAACGCCGCCGCTCCAGCTGCAGCTACCGGCCGGCGCAGGCGTACTCAGCGTGCACACCCACGTGACTCAATCCAAACCACCCGCGCCCACGTGACTCCCAGAGCCCGCCCAAGCCTCCTCCCTGGTCACGTGGTCTCGGGTCGCCCCGCCCCCAGCCAAAATGGCGGCGCCCAGTGGTAGGGTGCCGCGCCTCTGGGTCCAGGTTTTCGGGCAGCGTGTGGGGGGTCTCCTCACAAACGTCTCAAAGCCATTTTGTTCTGCCGCTGCTGCCTCTAGGCCTCTGGATGCCCAGCGATTAGCGGAGAGGCTCCGAGCCCAGAAACAGGAACAAAAGACGAAGAAGGTGCCGGTGAGTCTGGAAGGAAGGATTGCAGCTCCCAAGAGGCAGTGTGCTCAGTTGTTTCCTAGGTGTGGAGTGAATAGGGAGGGTCCTCTGAGAGAATGCCAATAAACGCGGAGCATCGTGGTAGGAGAATAGGGAGGAAGCGGAGGGAGAAGTCAGCAGGTTACGGTGTCTTCCTGTGGGTTGGGTCTTTGGCTTCTCCTGGGCTCGGTGCTATGCGCCCCCGCTCGCAGATTACTCCGGAAAGGCTCGAATGTAATGCAAATACAGTGATTCCCTGCTCAAATTCTCACTCAGATATATTGAAGGTCTTCCCAACCAGGCATTTCCCACTGCTCTTGCTCTCCTATAGGTGCCCACAAACCCTGTCCAGCGGAGAGTGAAAGAACTCTTGCAGTTCACACAGCAGCTGCAGCGAGTCCACCCCAACGTGCTCGCTAAGGCACTGAGCCGAGGGATTGTCCACCAGGACAAGGACCTTGTGGTCATCAATAAACCTTACGGTCTTCCTGTGCATGGTAAGGAACACATGGGAAAGGGTGGGACGCCGCTTCTCTTTTCTGCAACTAAAGACAACTCTGACAGATTCCTTATGGGGTTCTCGGAAGCTTTGCATTCAAAATAATTAAACTTTTGCGGAGTACTGCCCTATATAAGGCACTAGTGAGGACACAGAGATAAATAAGATAGTCCCCACCTTCCCAACATCTGGCATTCAGCAGTGATTTATGTAATGCAATGTGTGCAAACCTCCACAGAGTTGCTATAGAGATTACAAAGGCCTGTAGTTTCCTTGTGGTTCTTGTCTTCAGGTTATTTTCCATTAAAACTGGGAAAGAGGAAATAACATATAAGAAAAAAAAATATGGTGTGTGTATTGAAGTATACTCAACAAAACCTCAGGGTGGAACTTGACACTTGTGTTTTTGAATAAATGTTGAAAGTAGTTGTCAGAGACAGCTGGAGTGAGGCAGGAAAGAGAAAAAATGCATTTATGGAAAGGGTTTTGCTGGAGGAAAGGCATATTTTAGCTAGAAGAGGAATGCTTTTCAGGGAGGTATGGAGAAGGTTGTGCATAAAGGCAAGGAATTAAATCAGACGTTGCCAAGTGCTTTCTGTGGATTTTTTCTCTCCTGATTCTCAAAATAGCTTCTTGCCTTCCCATTTCCCATGAGATAATACAGATGTTTACATTTTATAGATGAGAAGAGTGAAAGTTAGAAAGATTAATCTGTTTAAGGTCCTTGGCTAGTTAGGAGAGTACATAGAGTAGAACCTAGGAATGTCTTACCCCAAAGCCTCTTAGCTCATCTGTAATACCTGGGGAGGGCCTTATGATCTTGCATTTCTCACTAGGGTTTAAAAACAAATTCTTAAGCCTTGGTTTATGTAGTGAAATATCAGGCCTCCTCATTTTGATTGCTGCTTTTAGTGTGACTACATGTATGTAAGTAGATTAAAATATATCTATGCACATATATATGTCTGAGGAGAAAGCCCCATGCTCTAGGCCTATGCTTCTCAAACTTTAATATGCATGAGTCACTTGGGCATCTTGTTAAAATACAGATTTCAATTAATAGTCTGACTTGGGGGACTGAGAGTCTTTTCTAGAGAGCTCCCTGGGCATACAGATGTTGCTAGCCTGGACCACATGTCAGTAATAAGGCTTTAGAAAGCATTGACAGTTAATCCAGTAAGGGCTTTTTTCTCAAGTAGAGTTCTTTGGTGGAATCTTTTCCTGGCCACTCAAACCTTGTCTTTTCCTTACTTAGGCGGACCTGGGGTCCAGCTCTGCATCAGTGATGTACTGCCTATCCTGGCAAAGATGCTTAATGGCCACAAGGCAGAGCCCCTGCATCTGTGCCACCGGCTGGACAAGGAAACTACAGGCGTGATGGTGTTGGCTCGGGAAAAGGACATGGCACATCAAGTTCAAGAGTTGTTTAGAACTCGTCAGGTGGCAAAGAAGTACTGGTATGAAGTCCACTGATAGTGGTAGAGGTGTTAGAAATGAAGGTATCCCTTTCATCTATGCATCCATTCATATAGCAGCAACTCCTATTATTAGAAGGCACTGTACTAGGACCTGTGGACACATAAAAGGCATAGGAAACAGATTTAGTGCTTAAAATATTAGAGTCTGAGAGAGTAGTGGTCCCTAATTATGGCTATACATAAAAGTCATTGAAAATTAATTATTCAAGTAATACATGATTTCATTTCTGTGGTAAATAAAGATAAAGTAAAAAACTCCTGGAGAATATACCTACTCTGTCATTTTTATCCCTTCCCTTGAGGTAGTTTGGTTTTTATTCCTCTGGTCCTTACTCAATGCACTTATGTACATTTCTAGTATATACAATATGTGCATGTGTGTATCTACACATGTATGCATATTGTACAACATACATTGTAGTTTCTTTTCCCACTTAACCATGAGGGATCTTTCCATGTTAGTGTATAAAAATTTACTTCAGTTTTCTTAATGGAAGAAAGATACATGAGCAAAAATGAAACCCATTTCTGTCCCCCATCTACTCAATTTCCTTTTCCAGAGACAATCACTATTATTAGTGTCTTATATAAACTTACAGAGTTATACTGGGCATATAGAAGCATGTTATTTTATGGCAACATATTTTACACTGCTTTGCATCCTGCTTTTTTTCACTTGGACAGTATATCTTGGAGAGCATTTTGTGTTGTACATTTAGAGCTAGCTTCTTTTTAATGGCTCTATAGTATTCCATTGTGTGGATATATCATAATTTCCTTATTGACAGATGTTTAGGTAATTTCCCATTTTTCAGAACCTATTGCAAAGAATTTGCAAGTATATCTTTAGAACAAATTCCTAGAAATGGATTGCTAAGGTGAAGGGTACACATAATTGAAATTTGAATACTTACTACTCAAATTGATTATGTCAATTTTTACTCCTACTAGCAGCAGGGAGTGTCCACCTCTTATGCCTGACTGATGCATTTTTAAAAGGTTTGCCACTGATGGGTTAAAAATGCATATGTTTTTTCTGTTTCTCTGTGTACTTTTCGTGTTGTCTGTCTTTTGTGTTTATTGGCTATTTTGAGTTTCTTTTTCTGTGAACAGACTATTTTTTTTGCCCAATTTCTGTTGGGTTGTTTATTATTTTCTATTTGATTTGAAAGGATTCTTTTTGTATTTTGGGTGAGACAATGCATGTGAAGTGTTTAACACAGTACCTAGCTCATAGTAAAAGCTGAAAAGTGGAAACCAAGACTACTATTATGTATACAGTAATCAAAATGGAAGTCTTTTAAAAAGTGTTATATTATTTGTAAAAACTGTCTATGAAAGTTTAGAATCGGTAACCGTTCTCAGGAGCAGGCTTCATAGAGGAATTGCAATCAATTAATTGGGTCTTGATGAATGAATAGGAGTTAATTAACAAGTTGGAGAAATGTGTTCTAGATTGTGGGAATGGCATGCACAAAGGAGTGAGGCATCCGGTCCAGTTTTTCTAGTGGTAGGGGATGGTGGCAGATAGAGCTGGAAAGGTAGACTGGAACCTAGTTAAGGGTGATCTTAAATACTAGGTGCAGGAAGTAGAAGTTACAGGTAGAACTTCTTTCTGACCTACTATGATAGCAACTTGTTATACTATAATTATTTGTTTGAATCTTCTTACTAGATTCTAAATTCCCTGAGAGCAGGGATTTTTGTCTTGTTCATCTACATAGAACTACTACCTATCTAAATTGGTACCTATTTACATTCAGTGAATATTTACTGACTGAACATTTTTGAGCAGCAATGTTAGGTCATTAGGAAGAGTAATCTTCTAGTTACAATTCAGTTATGATAAAATATATCAGATAGCGGCCCAAACTGCCACCAACCTGAAGTGTCCAGGATGTGAAATATTATATCTGAATGGGCTTTTGACTCCTTGGCCAGTGCTTCTGTGATAGGCTACCAATTACCCAGGGAACTCCATGGTTGACCTGGAAGGAATATGAACGTCAGGACAGCTTAAATAGTCTTCTACCTGGCTGTGACGTGATGATGAGAGATCTTTAACAAAAGTGATTTGGAATGAGTTATTGAGTTGTGGTTTCTTGACTTCTTTGAGCACAATTCTTCCCTGTGTTATCCAACTGGCAAATAGGACAGGAGTGGTCCTATGAATTTTTCATTCAGTTCTTCATTGATTTTTTTCATTCACTTTATATGTAACCAGAACTTACCATCTTTTATTATTTAAAAAAGGAAAATAGGATACAAAACCATAGTTTTATTTTAAACTATATGTACTCATTTTTAAAGGCTGGAATGAAAGACCATGTTACTAATAGAGTTTTTTTCTGATTTTCCCCCAAATATTCTACAATTAACATATATTACATTAAGAGTAAAAAAGATATGTGTGTAAGAATAGTAGCAGGCTTTCAGGCTAAGTAGCATACCAAGAGATCATTTGGGACTCTCTGATCTTAAGAACTAATTACAGTAGTGCAGGAAGTCCACTGTTAAAAACTTAGTAGCCAAATCTAAGGAGTGCCTCCCCTTTGTGGCTTAAGTGAGGGTCTGTGTGCCACCCTAGGGCCATCACTGTGCACATCCCAGTGCCCTCAGCAGGAGTCGTGGATATCCCCATCATTGAGAAGGTGGTGCAAGGCCAGCAGCAACACCACAAGGTGGGTGAGCTGCCTCCCGGAGGGATGGGTTTTTTGCTCTTCCTCTGAAATCATACCTTGGTTTCTTTGGCTTCAGATGGCACTGTCCCCGAGCTACCGAATGGACAATGGGAAAATGGTGAAAGTACGGACCAGCCGGAATGCACACATGGCAGTAACTCAGTACCAGGTGCTAAGCAGCACTCTCTCGTCTGCCCTCTTGGAGCTCCAGCCTGTTACTGGTGAGGGTGCTGGCATTCTGCAGTGGGAGGCCGCCCCAGTCCTGCTGCGCACTGTCCTGGGCCCTGTGCTGGGCTCTGCCCTTCTGCACAGCTGTATTGTGGGGGCTGAGATTGCGGCTGCCTCGTTTGAGAGCTTCTGGTGCATATCTGAGGCTGAGAGCTCCAATAGGGATCATTGTTAAAAACAGTAGGTAACAGAGGATATAAACAGTTTGCTTACACTTATTTAAAAATTTGCCAAGTGGTTCCTGAAAAAATTAAGCATAGAATTACCATATGATTCAGCAACTCTACTCTTGGGTAGAATTGAAAGCAGGGATTTGAAAAGATAACACTTGTTCATAGCAGCAGCATTCACAATAGCCAAAAGGTGAAAATATTCCAAATGTTTGTTGACAGATGAATGGATAAACAAATGTAGTATAGCCATGCAATGGAATATTATTCAGCCTTAAAAAGGAAGGAAATTCTGACACATGCTACAACATGGATGAAACTTGAGGACATTATGCTGAGTGAAATAAGCCAAATGCAAAAGGACAGCTATTGTATGGTTTCATTTATATGAGATATCTACAGTAGTGAGCTTCTTAATGACAGAGGGTAGAATAGTGGTTACCAGGGGCAGGAGGGAAGAGGGGACGGGGAGTTAATGTTTAACAGGTAGAATTTCAGTTTGGGATGATAACAAAAGTTCTGGAGATGGGTGGTTGTGATGATTGCACAACAGTATGACTGTACTCACTGCCACAGACTTTCACTTAAAATGGTAAATTTTACATCTCATATATTTTGACACAATAAAATATGTGCAAAACAATACTATTTGGTATTATATAATAAAATTATGTTTTAAAAAACCCAGTGTGGCAGTTGTAGATACCAAGTTGATGATAATGGTTATCTGTGGTGGAAAGAGAAAACTGAGGGGGAGGGGAAATTGGAGGCATAACAGTATTTATAATGCTTATTTCCTAATACCATATAGTTTGTCATCTTATTCTTTATACTTTATTGTAGTTGAGGCTTTGCTAGTTTACCATGCTTTGATTTAATATTAGAAGCAGCTGTCACCAGTGGCACTGTTTCTGTAGGCACTCATAAGTTTTCTCTTTTTCTTTTGAAGGAGTAAAACATCAGCTTCGAGTTCACCTGTCTTTTGGATTGGATTGCCCAATTCTTGGTGATCACAAGTACTCAGACTGGAATAGACTGATCCCCCAGGTATAGGTTTGACCCAATATGCAGCAGACTAAGGGGCAGAACTTATGCTTTCCCTCTGTGAAAACCCTGAAGTGAGTCACAACAGGATGGATTAATGGTCCTCAGACAGGGCACCAAGCTCGTTATCCAGCTTATAGAGAAATTCGGAAGCAGTTAGCTGTGGTTAATCTGTACTCATGGAGCTTCAGGATCCATGAGCAAAAACTCTTTCTGCTTCATTTATTTAGTCCCGAATTTGATAGGAGGCTTTGGGCAGGGGGAGGAGGCTTTCTGAAGTCTCAAAGCAGCCTTTCATGCTACTGCTAAAGAGAGTGGTAGAAACTTGTCTTTTGATGTTCCAACCCATTCTTTTGGAAGGTCAGAGACCTGGCCAGCAGAGCTTCCTTAGTGTAGCAGATTTCTCTTACTTGGGTGTCAAACCCTTCCTAGACATGCCCCCAAAACAGGCGACCCATTACTGCATCTTCCAGGGGAGTTAATATTGGACCCCTATAAGTGTGGGTCTTCTGACCTGCATGCTGGTCAAGGATGAACTATTATTGGCCTTGCTCTCAAGAGACCATCTTTTCTTTGTGCAGAAACTATCTGTTGGCACCCTGAAGAAGCTGGGGCTGCCACAGTCGAAGGCTCGCCACATCCCCCTTCACCTGCATGCCCGCCAACTGATCCTGCCTGCACTGGGGTCCAGGAAGGAGGAGCTCAGCTTGGTCTGCAAGCTTCCTCACTACTTTGTACGCTCCCTCAGCCGTCTGGGCTTAGAGATGCCAAGTCATGATCAAAACGAAGCTGGGCATCTGGGAGCACAGTGAAGATTGTCGGACAGTGTGGCCCCTGAATCTCTCACTTCGTTGAGCGGACTCTGCTAACTTCTCCCTTTGGACAGACCCCAGAAGAACCAGGTGTGATAAGCTGAGGAAAGCTGGCTGCTTCAGCGCTTTTACTGGCGATTAAAATCTATTTCTGATACTAGGGCCACACTTTGGAAAAGCATGTGGAAAGTCTACCTGTTTCCTACCAAGATGGAAGAGAGCCCAGGATCAGGCAGTTTGGGTCGATAATTGGAAAAGGAGAACTCCAGCACAGGATGTATGGGCAAGAACTGTTTTCATCCGACAATAAAGTTCTTGATCTGTCAGGAACATTCCTGTGGTTGTGCAAAGCAGAGTGGTTATCTCACATATAGAGAAATTCAGAAGCAGTTAATGTCCTCATGGAGCTGCAGGGTCTATAAGCAAAACCCTTTCTCCTTCATTTGTTTCATCTCAGATTTTGTAGACACATGTCATAGCATGCAGGAATGAGGAATGAGGACTCTCTTCCCTCCAGCTGCAGCATGGGAGCCTTGGCTGCACTGGTGATTGTGAAGTCTGAAGGATATTTGACAGCAAAGAAAGCAGATGTAAATGGCAGGCAAATAACATAAATCAGTGACGCAGTCGGGGTAGTCCATAGCAAGAGCACACACATTGTGTAAAGAGAGCACTCGTTAGCTTCAGCTGGCTGTTGCTATGTGGGAACAGATTTTCTGGTTTTTATCAAAGTCAGAAAATCCAGGTATTTATGCTCCTAGTGTATTGCTAACTAAATCAATTTTTAAAAAATCACTTAGCCAAACAAATCATATTTGCTGCAGGCTACCTGTTTGCAAACTGTGTTTAAAGAATGACATAGAAGTTTGAGGAAAGGGACCGTCCGAAAAGTTCTGTATCAGTGATTGGCACTTAAGCCACATGTAGTATCTGACCTTTCTAGACTAGGGGATAGCTTCGGTTAATCTATAAATGTGTGGTGATGAGGGTGCTGCCATGTTTTAAAGCTGCTTTGTTTTGGAAGCAAGCCTCCTGTCCTGGGGTCTCAAGAAGGAGGTGGCCATGCCAAGCACCGGTGGGGATGGCAATGATCTTGGCCTCCCTGCTCAATTGTCCCACCAGCTCCCATCTTGTTTCTTGTGACAATACAGTCTTGCAAGAAAATACACATACTTTACATTGCGCTGAGCTGAGAAAAGTTGGAGAGACAGCAGTTGGGGGAAAACCCCAAGAGCAGCCTTTCTGTGTGTGCCCTCTCCATGGCTAACAACTTTGTAAATCCCTTCCCTGTTTCCATGATACCTGTTACCATGCGTGATGGATTTAATTTCAGAAGCACAGATGAGATAACTATATTTGTGTCTGTAAGACTTAAGTATTTTGGCTGTTGTTTCTATTTCCAGTAAACCATGCTTCTCAGGATAAAGTCACAAGCATGTGATAAATAGAAAATATTGATGATTGACTTTTATTTAGGGAGACAAATGAAAAGGGCCCCTGGTCTTGTGAGTAGAGAAACTTCAGCAACCAGGGAGCCAACCCAAAGAACCAGGCAGTAATATGCCTGCAGCAGTCAGGTTATAGGGCAGACCCTGCTGCTTCTACAGGGTCAGTGATCTCAGTGACCAGTGCCACCATGGAGGTTGGGCAGGGGTGAGGAATGAAGACTCTCTTCCTTTTCTTGTCTGTGTTTTTCTTGGTCTTTCTGGGTTAGCAGCTATCTTTAATCATTGAAAATAATCAGAGAAATTTTACCCCGAGTCAGCATAGCCTAGATAGCTTGGATTACAGAGTAGGGAGGCTGGAATGTGCCTAAAATGAAATAATGGTTAGAGCCAGTGAAAGGTTGGATTTAGCATGGTCATATAATTAGTATAAGAAAATGTTTTTCCATTCTTTTTGTTAAAGTTCTACATGCACATGATTTAAAAAAAAAAACTAAAAGGCTTATAATGAAAACGTATTCTTTGCCCGGCTTTTATTTTTAGCTCTCTCCCAAATGTTCACTGTGTGCCTCTGGGAAGTACTAATTATTTTCCTTAGGTCAGAGGGCAGGCTCCCCCAGCACTCTCCTGGGTGGGACAGGGGTGGGGAGGGGGGGGAGGAGCCCTGGCTAGTATGTTCCTGGACGC